GAAATCCATTAGTAGTGTACAGATCAGAATTAACACACTAAGTTCAAAGGAGCAATGTATACCATTTAATACCATTTCTAAAATCTACTTGACAACCAGACATTTACACTTTTCAAATTACAAATCCAGCATCAGAGAGGAACACTTTATGAAGCTGAATATGAAAGCTGTGGAAGTATAAGAATCCCTTACAAACCAGCCCATTCAACCAATCTGCACTTCTCAGCCATGTATGTTATACAATCTTACCAATGGGGGGAAAAAGTCTTCTTGGGATGGTTAAACAAATAACTGCTTTTCAAGTATCGAGCGCATGAATTGATGTGACTTTACTGGCAATGCAAAAAAAAAGGCACAAAATAGGCATTGTACAAATATTTTATTTTTAAAAAATCCATTATCCTAATTATATTTCTGTTGGCAGGAACTTCTACGCTGGAACAGAAAACATAGGCAATTAAATTCTGTAATGGCATTGGGAATCGACTTAAATCATTCATGAGGTGAAATCTAACTAAAAATGTAAAAAAAAGCAGTTTTTAAATCTTATAATTTGGGACAGAATGTCGATTAAAGTAGGATTCAAATTTAAGGGATGGCTATATCATCTAAGTGGCTTCAATCAGCTGAAGTTACAGTCCCATATAGAAATCACAAAAGACTGCACAGTAGCCATTAGAAGACAGATTGCTTATAGTTTGACTTTCAAATACTAACAGTACTTTTAACATATGAAGATGCATTAGGGAATAACTCCCACTGCCCTGAGAATCACAGCACACAATAAGGTGTAATCCATATACCAACTCATCTCTGATTTTACATTAAAGTGAACGTCACTGCATGATTTTACATCCAACAACTGCAACATTTTACTGCAGATTGTTAGTTAATATTGTTGTATAACAATCCCCCACAAAAATCACAAGTCTCCAAACCCAACACAACAATTCTAAAAATGCTGCCTGTTGTTGAAGGTATTCAGCAGTGTCCTTTTTTGAACAGTTGTTAGGGTCAGTTGTTGGGAGTTAGCCTTAACATCTGAGAGTTAGGAGACTGTTGTAGTGATGGCTGTTTTCCCTCTTGGGTGGAATCGCATCTCTGTACCCAAAAGGAACAGATGGATATTGTTCATGAGTGCAGGCCACTTTACTTCTAATCATTTGGCATTGCCGTGAATGTGTTACTTTCACAGCTTGCTTATCTGTGAACATTTGTCTTTATTTGTAACTTATCTCTAACACTATATTAAATACAACACATTTATAAAGTCACTCTTTAGGTAATAAATTTCCTGTTTCTGCTCTACATACTATAAAAGCTATTAGACAGGGAAAAGTTTTAAAATCTCTGATTTGGACTCTTAGAAGACTCTCATTTTGTAATACCAAAAGTCAAAATGGAGAATACAGTTGGTTTGTTCATGTAGTTGCTTATGTGCTTCACCCAGTGGACTGCAAGTTTGAGCAAAAGGGCATAGGTCAGAGAAGGAACACACAGACCTGTATTTTTCCAAGTGATGGCCACTGTCAAGATCCAGATGTCTTCATACTAACAGTGACAGAAATATTTTTAAAAGTGATTGGCTTCTCTTGATCTGACGGAAAATGAAAACCATGGGATTCTAAGGCCAAGAAACAAATATAATCTTTACTATGTAAAGTAAAGCCATACAATTTTACTGGAGTTATGGTTCCAGAGAGATGAAATTATGATGTGGAAAAGCTATGTCACATTGATCTACAAAAAAGCTTATTTTGGTGGAATTGTCATTTCTTGCTCCTAAACAAAGTTGCATTCTCATGAATTAAACATAAAAGATTAAGTCATCTTGAATGAGATGGCAAGATTTAGATATTTATAGAAATATCTGGTAACTCAATGATAACATTCAAATTGGAAGCTTACATATTTTAAATAATGCTCAGATTTAAGAAAAGACTTTAGCAATGCAAAATTGCACAAATTGCATCATGGTAGTATGCTCCACAGTCAACAAGCCAAAATGTAGGATGAAATTATTTTAAATCACCAGTTTTGGTGTGTGACATAGCTGTTGGTGTTTATGATGCTGTTTTCATAAGGCTGCAATGCATACATTATATAATCCACTGGCTGTGTTTTATATACTGGGACTTGACAGGTAATCCTAAAGCAACAGCAAGCAAGGGCACAACTATCTAGAAAAGCGTAGCATTAATATCATATCGTTATGTAGGAGAAAGAACACTTGTATACACAAACTTGCCACTGAAAGTGAACAGAGAGTTTGTTTTTAAACAACCACATGAGAAAGAGTTAGACAAGGCTTAGGTTTAGTCTTGGGGTTCGGAAGAACATCATGTGTGCTTGTTGAGACAGAGCATAAATCTACAAGGCACAAGCTAAAATAACAGAAACAGCATAATGTCCTAAATCAGGACTGGATGGGAGTTCACCATTAAACAACGTATTTAAAATGTGGTAAAAATGTTGAAGTAATAGTTCTAGAGTAGTTGATTTTTCTTTGTTCTAGAACATGATCACCTTGTCCAGTGGAAAATTGAGAAATATATTTGCCTTGTGTGTATGGCCTTGCCAACCCTGAGAACTTAGATATAAATATAATGGTATTATAAAGGTTATAATGTCAACAGCATTGATATTTTAAACCCAAGCTGTTCTATTAGATAAGAAATTGTGTGTGGGGGGGGAGGGGGGTTGGGGAGGCACAGAAAGAAGCTAAATGTATGCAGTTGCTTTTAATCCACTCTCAGTAAGTATGTACTTTCAATTAGAGCTCTTGAGCTAGCTGCTCAAATAAATATGGGATAGAAAATGATGAGAAGGGATGACCAAATAAAGATTCTAATTTAGTTTTGGATCAGAATATAATTAAAACTCACATTTATTTAATTCAAAGATCCCAGTAATTCCTAAAATTTAATCGTACAATGAAATATTTTGGAAGAATATTTGAGTGGCCATTGTTATCTCTAGGATTTTGAAGTCCTTTGTCCCTCAGATTTCAAATTCAGTATTTCAAATATATGTTGGATTCAGTCAAAGTGAAAAGAAACTGATGCAGAAATGATGTTTTGCCTTTAATGCCTTTTCGTGTGCTTTTTACGTATGACAAAGAAATACATTTTCCTCTGTGACTAATGTTACCAGACAGGAAAATGAACCTTAAAGTTTTCTCTAATATGCTGGTGACATCAAGTGACAGAACATTAATATTGCACTAATCATTTTTAACATTGTCAGATTGGTTGTTTAACCCAATTTGATACTTTGTGGTGTCCAGCTTCTAAGCCACATATAATACATATTTAACATTCCAGCTGGACATCATGGAAAACATATATTTCTTAACATATCTTAATGGAACTTAAATATAAAAATAGACATTGCAAACAGTTTTAACTTTAGTTGTAACCAGTTTGCTCTTTACATACACAGTAACATAACTTATTGTGCGTAGATTTTGAACTTTGGTCAAATTCAATCAGTGGTTGCCCAGTCCAACTAAGGATATCCTCACAGCAATGTTTTAACTTTGACTGAGAATCAACTACAATAGACATATTTTCATATTTGCTTTCATCCATGGGCGAGAAAAGAAACTGCAAAGTACCCCAAATGGTATTTAAAATTGTGGTCAATTATAATAGTAACATACTACAACTTGAGGGCAAGGAAAGCACAACTGTAGTGACAACCTTCGTATTAATGTTTTTTGTGTTTTACTATACGATACAAATAGGTGCACTCTGTCAGCAGAAATTACCATCTTTTTAAAAAGGCAAAACTTGAAAAACTGAAGGTAACAGAGCATGCGTTCTTGTCAAAATTACGACTCTGAAGAGGACAGAAATTTTCTCTTGTCAGAGCAACAGAACAGTCATCAATTTATTGCTCAAGCGATTCTAAGGTTGATCTCATTTTAACTGTCTCAGGACTGCATAAAACTTAGTATAACTATTTCAGTCAAAACCTGCTTAAAATCATGGCCTGACAGAGTGACAACACAATATCTTTGTGCCTGATGGCAATGAATAGTAGTCTTTTTTGGGTATCATTGGCAAAGCTAGCAGTTATTGTCCATCCCAATTGCCCTCAAGAAGGTGGTAGGAAGTTGCTTCCATGTGGTGTAGGTACACCCACAGTGCTGATGGGGAGGCAGTTCCAGGCCTTTGACCCAAAAGTGGAGAGCAGACTGGAGCTGACTTTCCAACTGGACACCACAATTGATCAAAGCAGTTTTACTACCTTAGTTCATGACAGCTTTTACATATTTGAGAAACATTATTTTCTTCATAGGTTTGATGCTTTAATCACAGAAAGCAATATGTTACAGTTTATGCTATAAAAAGCTATCAATACTTTCTCGAAAAAGTATTACCAGAAAACTCATGTTAAATTTTCAGTGCAATAACTTAATACTGAATGACACACGCACTTCGATACAGTACATAGCCCTCTGTTTTACTGTTATTCTTCAAACAGATGGATATTATGTATTCCATTGCCTTATGATTAGCTGAGCTGAGAACAACCCTTCATCAAAACAAACTGATGGCATGAAGTCTCTTTCATGACAAACATAAGGTCACGCAGCACAAAGGATCTTTTGTATTGTGTATGCACTATACACAGTGATTTTTTAAAATTCATTCATGGGATGTGAACATCGCTGGCTAGATCAGCATTTAGTACCCACCTAATTGCCCAGAGGGCAGTTAAGAGTGCCTGTGGATCTGGACTCCATGTAGGCCAGTCCAAGTAAAGGTGCAGATGTCCTTCCCTAAAGGGCATTAGTGAACCAGATGGGTTTCATGGTTGTCATTAGACTCTTAATTCCAGATGTTTATTGAATTCAAATTCCACCATCTGCCATGGTGGGGTTTGAACCCAGATCCCCAGAATATTACCTGGGTCTCTGGATTAATAGTCTAGCGATAATACCACTAAACCACCTACACATACTTCTCTGATGTTCCCAGAATTGTGTTGACAGAAATAGGGAATGACAAAATAGTGCCAATTTATAGAAATAAAAGATATCAATTAATTACAATACTGCAGTATAATTGGGCATGAAGCATACAAATAATGAAAACTCTGTCAGACACAAAGCTGGCAGCAAAGTGATTGACAGATTTTGTTGTCATCTTTGTAATAACAAGAAAGTCAAAACCTCTGACAATGGAAACATTTGGTTTCTTCCACTAAATGGAAAGAGAATTGATATAACAAGAATAATGGGCAAAGGTGAACATAAATCCATGTGTTCCCATCATTATTTCTCTGTACATACATTACCATAAATGCCCCTAACATCTGTTCTCTGATTCATACTGACACCCCTGCAGTCTCTTATTAATGTTGATCCACTATAGTCTGCTTGAATAGCATGGGAAGAGACTCACCACACTTTCTTTCCATGGCTAGCTTCCATTTACTTCAAGGATTGGCTTTAATTTTTCTGAAGCAGTGACTCCATATACTAAAGGGACTCTTGGATGGATTCACCAAGATGTAAAATTTATAATACAATCAAGACTTCATACTCAAAAGGTAGATGTTCCAAGCCCTTGCATTTGATTCAGAAAACTGCTTGTAGCCGATTTAATCATTGTCGTCCTTGTAGACCAGTATTCTGTAAATATTATGGAAATTATACTGTCTTGATTTTTGCACAACAAAAGCACCAATTTAATGATACTGTGACCCAGAAGCTTAAAGGTCTTACGATAATAACAATGATAGTAATGGTCTTAAAAAATGTGGCATATCAAGCAATTTTCAGTTCCATTTAGCACCAGCCCCCAACATTAAATACTCTATTACTCTATTTTATGAAAAAGGTACAAATCAAAATGGCATCCATTACCAAGTTAAATGCAGGAACACATTAACAAATAAAAATGCAGAGACACACCTCTAGCAGGACCGGAAATAGTTAAGAGTGACTAACACTCAGTTCACAATTGTCAACATCACCACTGCGCGATTACAGTGGCACATTCCGGCCATAGTAGCACTGTGGCCTAAAAATGCTAATTGTGCCAAGATCCATTTTTTTTAAACAATCATAACATTTTCAAATAATAAATTATTGTCCTCAGAAAGATCATCCAATAAATTTTAAAAAAATCAAACATATAAGTGCACCATATATTGAAGCATTGGTTTGGACTTAAACTTTCAAAATAAATGCATCACCTCATGCTACCAAACTTGCTGAAACACACATTGAAATCAATTACTGTGGCTGATCACGGATGGTCAGTGACTGATGTTGATCAGATGTAGATTAATTCCATTAGTCCATTTTTCTGTCCCCTTTTCTCACTCTCCCACTTATGTTTCAGAGGCAAAACCAAGCAACTGCAAGCTATCCTGTTTCACAGAAGTTGGTTAGTTTTCAGACTCCAAAGTAATAGACTGTAGAAGGGGAAAATAAGCAGCAAAAGAAGTCTTTCAAACAGGTGATTCTCTGTGCTTCATGTGTCTTGTTTCTCAATATTATCTCCATTGCTCCCACTATCCAGAGGAATCGGGCTCAGCAATGAAGCAACAGAGTAGAAAACTCAGGACTTTCCCAGTAATGCATTAGTACCAGAGGCATCCTGATTCATTCTCCAGAGGATGACATCCTGTGGCATGACTAGGAATGGGGAGGAGGCTTAGAAAGACATCTGAGAGGAACACATTTTGATCTGGAATGTGAGTGCTCTTCCTGGAGAGCTATATTAGGACTGCAAATTCAAAAAGAAGCAGTAAGAAATATATGTACCAAGAAAGAAAAGTGGCACTGTAGAAAATAAACAATCCAAACATAATAAATACTGAGCTTCTTAATCAACAGTAAATTATTTTCATGTTTCAATGTTTTTCTCCCTTCTTCTCATCAAGACATTTGTCATATTTTTAACCTAATCCATCTGGCAAGAAACTGACAAGATTGGTTCTCTGGTTTACATGATGCCATTAGCGGAAACAAAAATCAAGCAGAGTGTAAGAATGGGTACTTGACATGGTCCCATCAGTTTCCACCAGGTGGGTAAGGTTAAAATGAAATTCCAGTGATCCATTCCTGACCCCAGTTTCAAGGATCATGAGTGGCCATCCTTCAGTATGTAAGGCAGTGATTCTTCTTCATAAATGAGCCAAGGTATTGAATGCTGGCAAGCTATTACAACATAAGGTGCATCATAACCAAGATAAACCCTGTCTTCTTCCACAATCCAATTCCTAGCAGGTGTCACTGGACAGCAAACAGGAGCAGAAAGACCAGAATAATGCTGCCTTGATAGTCCTGAAGAATTCAAACTAATCATAGCGGCCATGTTGGCACAGGTTTGCTAACTTACCTAAGGATGCAGTTTGAACCTCTGGCCTTCCTAGTTCATATGGCTCAGTTCATCACATTGTTGATCAACTGAGCCATGTGGAAGTCAATTTATTGCACATTTACTTCTTCATGTACATGCATTAACATTTTCACAGTTGTTAATATTTCAAACTGAATATCCCAACTCATCAACATATTTTCACTGATGACTACCATTGCTAACAATAGAATGAATAAAGGCTCATAACTACTGTTACATAGTATTTTCAAACCAGTGCGATATCAATTATTTGGTTATGGGATTTAGATAATAGTTATGAATCACCTGAGTTTACTATGATTACGAAAGTATCAACTGGTTACTGCTGAGTAATTATTCATGGGTATCTTCAAAAAAAAGTACATGAAGTTGGATTTGATTTTGGCATGTAACCAAGTACTTGCTGATAGTACAACTCCAACAAATTTCAATCTGCCCTTCCTCATATCCTTCCATCTTTAGTACTTACAATTTGTAGTAAAACATATAAAGTTTAGACACTTTTTAGAATGACACTTTTGCTGCATGCAGAGAAGAAACAAACGTTTTAAGTTTATGATATTTTATATGTAAATTAAATGGTTAGTAATTAAAGTTTATAATTCAGTTAAAAACGACTGTAAAATAAATCAAAGCATAAATGATCAGTTGTTAAAATGAACAGTGAAAATTGTAAGTCGATGCATGCAGTTTCAGTCTGAGATATGGAAGTTGCACATTATGGAATTTACAATGACATTGGGACAGAATGTGCCGTCAAAATAACAACAAAGATAATGTTCCATTTCAGAAAGCTATGTGGTGAAGGATAGAACTGATTTCTAATCTTTAAGCACTTTACATAAACTATTATTTACGGATATATATGGAACAAGCATGCATCTTCAAACCCAAGCAAGGTATCAGGTATTTTAGACCACTTCCAAACCAACAACAGCACAAGTAAATTCCCAGTTCATGCTCTGAATCTGGGGATTTTTGGGCAATTACAACCTACATTTTTTTCTAGTGTTTGTGATTGTTTTAAGTTCTTCCTTCTCTTTGCCATTTTATTTTATACTATCCTTGCAATGCTATTTGCGTCTTCTATTGTGAAGATGAATGCAACATTCTTGTTAAAAATCTCTGCCATGTCTTCCTTTTATTAATTTGCCGGTCCCACTCTCTAAAGGACCATTGCTTAGTGTAGCTATTCTTTTCCTTTCCATATACTTATGAATCATTTTACTGGCTATTTTATATTTTTTGCTAATTCTTCTTTCATGCTCCAATTTCTTCCCTTTTTTAAAATCATTCTTTGCTAGTTTCTAAATTTTCTCAAATCATCTGGCCTAGCGCTATTCTTTGAAGTATTGTGCGCCTTTTCTTTCAATGTGATACCTTCCTTAGCTTCTGTTAACCACAAACTCCATCCATCTGGTAAAGTTTTTTTTCTTTAATGGAACATATATTTTTTGAAAGTTATAAAAATCTCCTTAAATGTTTTCCATTGTTTCTCTCACATCTTACTTTTTCATTTATTAACTACTGCATAACTATCATTAAGGGGCCTATAAACTACTCTTACCAGTTACTCATTTCCTTTGCTTTATCTTATCTCCATTCAGAATGATTCTACATCTCGATCTGATCCAACATAATTTCCAACAATTGTACTGATTTCATCATTTATTAAAGCAGGCAACCCATTTTGTTCCTTTCCTCCTGTCCTTCCAAAATGTCAAATACCCTTCAATGATCAGTTTCCAGCCTTGTTCAACTTGCAACCAAAGTATCTGTAATGGCCATTAAATTATACTTATTTATTTCTATTTTGGTTTAAATTTATCATTTTGGTATGAATGCCCTCACTGTTCATACTCCCTAGCAGAACCTCTTTCTACTTGTGTCATTGTTACCCATGTGGACCATGACAACTGGATCCTTCTCTCCAAGTTGCTCTCCATCCCAAAGAAAACCTGTAACCTTGGCACCGGGCAACCTTCAGCACTCATGCTCTTGGCTGTAGAGACAGTACTTATTCCCATAACTGTACTGTCCCCTATTACAACAACATTTGCCTCAGCTCCCTCACCTAAATGGCCTCTACACCACACATCCTGTTCAGTTTGCTTATCCAGTCTGTAGTCCCTGCTTTCAACCATAAAAATCAATTGGACAGTTGCAAAGATTAAGTGTCCTTTCTTGCAACCTCTGGTCCCAATACTAGCCTCATTCACAGTCACATTCTCCTGTTCTTGACTGTGTCCAAATCTGAAGTACCTAATTAAGTGTGATACCTCCTCGAATAATTTTTTACCAGATAACTTTTACCATCCTAACTGCATCAGTGTCTGAGGCTCCAAATCCAGCTCATCAATTTGGAGCTCAAATTCCTTATGATGCTAACATTTCCTGTACATGTTGTTGCTCTGCATCACACAGGTGTCCACCGGCTCCCATATATTACTGTTAATATACATCACCCGGTTCTGCAACTTTTCCGACTATTATTTCACAAATTAGGTTTAGAAATAGCAATAATTATCTGGAGTTGCATCAAGAAGTTTAACTAATTAAGCTTTAAATTTAATGTAATAATTATGGCTCCCTGTACCAGATTAAACTAATGTTTCCATTTAAAGAGATAGAAAAAAAAATTAAATTTCATCAATCACTCATCTACTTGTTCATCTGATTAATGTTTCTGGCTTCAGCTTTTGTATCCTATTGCTGGTCTTTGGCTTCTTCTTTTGTTTCGCTAGCTTTTTTTGTAAAAATTCACAACAACAGTTCCTCTCTCATGTCGCCAAATTACCTCACTTACCAAATTCCGAAGCTCGTACTTTGTCTCAAATTATTACTTTTATACTTGCTTACCTCTGCTGAAACCATCATTTTCTTTTCCCTCCCCATTCTCTGCAGCTGAAACTTCCTACAGAAACTAAGACCAAACAATACAACAGAGAGATTTCAGCTTGCAGACAATGACAACTTGAAAAGTTAAGCCAGGACATGCGTGACGGCTGACTGAAGGATTGCCTTTTTTTCCTTCCTTGGAGGGAAGCAACTGTTCTGCTGCTTTATCATTTGCCTTAGATACCAACCTCAGTATTATTTTTCAATGAACATTTTTGGGATTGTGGGCATGGATTACACATGGATGCCTAAAATAGTGTTAAGCCTCAATTTTTGTAATGCTTCAAATACAGCAGTATGGGACTTGTATTCAGACCAATGAATAACAAGAGCTGAGCCTATAGAAGCCATGCACCTATGACTGCAACATCTGAGTTGGAGGACTGAAGATGACACTTTTTAAGTCATTAAAATATGATTGAATGTGATTAAAATATAAAAATGAGAGGTTAGTTCACTTACTTGGCCTCTATAAACAAAAACAACATTGATCTGTGAAACTGAAGGGATGTAATAGGGCTTCTATTCACAAAGATTTCTAATGACCATTTGAAATTATGGTTAAAGTTAGAACCCAAAATTAACACTTTTTTCTCAAAAATACCAGAAAAGCAGAGGCTATGTATTTAATTTGCTCACTGTATTCCAACTATAAAACATGGCCCAGTTTGTACAATTCACTCAACTCTTCAGGAATTATACTCAAGATTACATCCTTCCACACAAGAACAATAAGGCAATTTTCCATAGTAGTTACTACTCTATAATATTCATCAAAAGATCAGGACACATTTCTTTTTTGGGTGAAAACATTGCTACTCTTATTTACATTTGTCCATCTATTCCTTATTAAAAATCATTTAAATGTGTGTACTTCCTGTCTACAAGGGGTATACCAATTTAATCCATTAGCCTAAATTTTCAGATTTTGCACCTGTACCAAGATAACCTTATGTGGCATCACTATAGATTCAAAAATCACAGAATCTTTGTGAGAACCTTCTTCCAAGGCCTGCCAATTTCTGTTATTTGGTGTTGCTGAACCCCATGTAATGCCATATCATGGCAATTGTTTTCACTGCTCATTACAGGCATGTCCAAGGAAGCTACCAGCTCTGCTAAACAATAGCACTCCCAAAAACCCAGGGCATTTCTCTTGTCCAAACAGTGTTGCTAAACCCCAGGATCTGACCCAAATTGTCAGGAATACAGTTCTGCACAGGCCTAGAATTCAAGGACATCCAAATTCCAGGACGATCCTTCAGTGCTGTCAAATTCCAGGACATTCAAAGTCAGAAGGGTAAGGGCTTGTGGGAGGTGATCAGAGAACCAAAATGAACAACCTACTCACTCAATCTACTTCTCATTAATCTACCTGCTGCAATTGTCTCTCTATGTCAGTGTTGGAAGGAGTTTCCACCTCGCAATTCTTGCAAACACCAAGCTGTATCTTCGCATTTTAAATCTTCTCTTTTGTGGCATGTGGCACTAGCATGGTGATAGTGGGATAGATAAAAGAATAGATCTAGCACCTCTAAACTGGCCATACGCACTGAAGTGTTATACAAACTCAAACCAGAATGAAAAGCTACATCTGGGATAAGGGTTCCCCTGTGTGCTGACCAATGAATGGCAATTTGCCAAACAATCAGGACCCTTTGTTTTTGCAGAAAAATTTGTTCCTGCTCTAGAAATTTGGCTTTCTTGCATCTGTCCTGATGAGTGCAAGACAAAAAGCTTTTACAGGATGTCTCTTTTTTCAGAAATACTCAAGTTCTGTACTACAAGAGAGTTTTTATATCGCTATAGAGAAGTACAATTTAGGCCAAATTCAGAATATCAACAACGTAATTTTACTCACAGTTAAGCTAACAAGTTAAATTAACCATTGAATTTTTCCAAGAGTGCGTTAAACAAGAAATTGTGTTCATTTACATATATTAATGCACGGGGAACTGTCCTCCATAAGGAAAATGTTTAAACATTGCATCTTTTTGAATTAAACAAATGCATGGCAGACAATAGTTCCCTGGTGCATTTGCCATGGCAATGTCTTGGCTAATCAGAGTGAACTTGCCAACCAATCAGCATCCTTTTCTTATGCAGTATAAATTGTTGCTCGCTTTGAAATTTGGCATTCTTGCATTTGTCCTAATTAGCATAAAATGAAAAGGTTCAACAATCTGAGATAGTAGGAACTGCAGATGCTGGAGAATCTGAGATAACAAGGTGTAGAGCTGGATGAACACAGCAGGCCAAGCAGCATCAGAGGAGCAGGAAGGCTGACGTTTCGGGCCTAGACTCAACGATCTGTCTCTTTTCTCAACAGTATGAAAGTTCTCTACTACCAATTGTTAACTTACATGTAAGCTCTCAGACCATTCTCTGAGGATGTATAGCAACAGGTTGACACTTGATTCTTTCACTCTCATTTAGGCAAACAGAGGAATAGCCTTATCCATCTCATTTCCAGTGGCTATGTAGTACAAATTCCTGAAACACCAACCACTGAGTTACATAGCCCTAGAGCTACTTCCGCAGCCCTGCTAAATCACATCTTTCCTAATCTTCACATGCTTGAACAACTTCAAGACTACCAAAAACTCCCAAAAACCCAATCTAAGCGGAAACATCTGCCTCAGTCATTACACCCCCAGACTCCTCCAGTGCTACTCGAAATATGACTTCCCCAACTATTGTACTAAATGCCTACCTCTTAACTAGTACATCTTTCTATCATCTTGATACATATTTTAGACATTGAAAGGTTAAAAAATAAAAATCAAACAAGGCTGCAGATTTTCAAGAGATAACAGATGTGGAGCTGGATGAACACAGCAGGCCAAGCAGCATCAGAGGAGCAGGAAAGCTGACGTTTCGAGTCTGGACCCTTCTTCAGAAAAAAATGTTTTTTGACCCGAAATGCTCCTCTGATGCAGCTTGGCCTGCTGTGTTCATCCAGCTCTACACCTTGTTATCTCAGATTCTCCAGCATCGGCAGTTCCTACTATCTCTGCAGATTTTCAAGGTTTTTTTTAATCAAAATGAAATAAGGTTACTACGTCTGATGGCTAAAACTGCCCTACAGATCTCATGAGAACATGAAATAAAACACAACCTGATCCATTCAACCACTGTAACTCAATGATGATATATTATAAATTAAATAGAATAAACATTCCTGTTACATCTGACTTACCATGAACAATCTGCTAGTACACTAAAATAAAAATACACATGCTAGATGGATCTTGCCTTTATTAAAGAAAAATAAAGCCCATTTTTCCTACTTAATTTGCTAAAGAAACATGTTAACTGCCAATCAGTAAACATGACAAAGGATGGGGCAATGATACAAAGGTTGTTAATGATAGGAATGGCATGGAATAGATACTTTATTCTCAGTATAATTTTACTAACATGTTAAGTAAGTCAGAATGTGGTGATTCTCAGCTGTCCAATACCGCATTGCATGACACATTTCAATGTTTATGTAAACAGTAACTTTGGCAATGAAACCAGATATTCATTGTCACAACATAAAACCTAATATAACACTTCGTCACATTATTTTTTTTGATAAAAGATGTAAACAGACAGGTATATGCACAGACCCTGCTTGGTAGACATGGTCCAAGAGTACACTCTGAGAATGCACAAATCAAAACAGACAATAAATACATTATTTCAGCCACTATGATAAAAACATTGCGTCAGGAGTGTGAGGATCTGAAGCTACACTATGACTCTGAGTAATGAACCACTTTCAGGAGTGAATCCCAACATGCAGTGAGGAGAGGAGAAAACAGATCGTCACAATGCAGCAAAAATAAGATGGGGCACTGATGATGTGCATTTCATGGGTAATGCATGCTTTGGGCTGGTTCATAGGCAACTAATGTTTTACCTTTCAGTCTCTGAGTCACATCCTCTCTCTAGTTGTGAGTAGTGTGGCGATATGGAGGCAGCAGACTGCTGACAATCTATAAAAAACTGACAAATTAGACAAATATACAGAGAGATGACACAGTAAAGAAGGTTAGTAAATTACAAGATACACATGAGAAATTTAGTGAGGAGTTTCCCAAATTTCCTTCAACTGCACAGTTTAATCCACTCAAGTATGCCATATTTCTGACCCATTGTCTAGTAGAAATACTGTGAAACCAAGACTGTTTATGCTAACATCCTGGTCAGACCTCAGATCAACTCAGAGAGCCAATGAAATGAGAAACAAAATTGTCAATCATCAACTTATATTGTTATGGTATTGGAGTTATGGTGAAATCTGACTTGTAGCAAAGGATTATGTTTCTACGGTGATTGAATGTCTGAATGATGGTGATTGCAGCTGCAATGTGAAATTTTATTTTCTAAACACTGGTTTGAAAGAATTTTACAACCAGCCTGACAACAAAAAGCTATTGCTGTCCTGCCAGATTAATGCCTTGTAGAATGCAGAATTAACAATTATAAAATTACTCTACGCAGGATGGGAAATAATCACATCACCATTTGAGTCATTGTGTTCTCAAGAGAAGAAATGTGCGTGCAAATTTTACAAGATCCTGCAATAAAGACATTGAAGCTTTGAAACTACAAATTTCTTCACTTAAGATCAATCTTCAGGTGGCTGATCCCTTTTGGGAACAAAGCACTATTAGTCATTTCCTTGTCGTGGGTGAGGAATGATTGGGGCTCAGGTATTTCAACTGCATTAAGAAAGCATGGGTCATTTTAAAATAAATTCTGCATTCCTAATGAGCTATGTGCACAATTTGTCAACCAGTTCTGAGCACTGGTAATACTAATCAACTTTTTGTTCAAATGGAGAATCAGTACCCGTTAGATAACAAATTAGATAGCAAAGTACTCACCAATGCATTATCATTCACACTTAGATTCACAAATGAAGGAATATGATCAATAAGACTAAGTATTAAAATGCTGTCTACAACCACAAATGACAGACTGTGTCATTTTTCAGGAAAGAAGAAAAGAATATTTTATTGATTAATGTTAAAAGTTTTAATAGGGGTGCTAATAGCTGATAATCATTATGATATGAATCGCTACTGATACAATGACATGAGAGAGTCAAACAGTATGAGGAGTGAGGTAGTTTTGTCAATTTTTTTCCACACTTCTAAATATTTTGGGATTTTGATTATCCACTGTAGGGAAGACTGCTCTCCTTCGTAACCATTGTAGATAATTAAGGTCACCTACATTACACATTGAAATAAAGATATGTAAAACACAAAAAGCATGAGCCCAATTATTCTTAGACAGAAGATGATTAATGTCAGGAGACTGATGCTACAGGGCTGGACAATAAGGTAACGTCTCATGCAAGGTTTTAACTTAAGCTTCATGGAATAATCTGAAATCAGATAACTCAAAGCATATAATGCAGAATATACATAAAATGATTCACAAATCATCTTTAAAAAGTTGGGATCTTTTGAGAAAAAATTCCATAATATAAATATCCAACAGTGCACCTGAGATGTGTGACTAAGACAATCTCAGGTTCGTTGTCTTCACACTGTAACCATCATAATTACTAAGTAAATCTTTACTGCAATAAAGTGAAAGTGTCTTTAATATGAACAGCAACCAGGTTCCCTTTGTGTTATTTTCCTGTTCTGCATCTAGAATTGGTGGAAAAAGAGGGGAATCTGAGAAAATCCTGGCACATATAACACTGTTGCAATTGATTTTGCCTTCCTGTGATGAGGTCATGCCCTTTTTAATTTGTTCATGGGATGTGGGCATTAATTGTTCATCTCTAATTCCCTTGCAGAAGGTGGTGATGAGCAGCCTTTGTGAACTACTGCAGTCACAGTGCTGTCAAGAAGGAGGACCCAGGATGTTGACACAGCAACTGTGAAGGAACTGTGTGATATAGTTCCAACTTAGAATGGTTTTGACTTGAAGGGGAACTTGCAGAAGGTAGTGTTTCCATGGATATACTGCTTTTGCCCTTCCAGGTGGTAGAAGCCTTGGTGGGTTGCTGCAGTGCATCTCGTAGATGGTACACACAGTTACCATCTCCACTTCTGACCTTATAATGGAGGGGAGGTCATTGATGAAGTAGCTGAAAATGTTTGGGCTGAGGTCACAATTCTGAGGAGCTCTTGCAGTAATGACTCTGGGACTGAGGTGATTAACCTCTAACAATCACACCATCTTCCTTTGTAATGAGTATGACTCCAACTAGTATAGAGTTTTTCCCTTAATTCTTATTGACCTCAGTTTTGTTAGGGTTCCATATGCATACTTTGTCAAATGTTGCCTTGATGACAAAAGCAGTCACTCTTACTTCTTCTGTGGAGATCAGCTTTTTTGTCCATGTTTGGACTAAGGCAATACTAAAGTAATGAGGTTAGAAGCTGAAAGATGTAGGCAGATTCTAAATCAAGCACTATTTTACAGGTTATTGCTGGTCAAATAGCACTTGTCAGCACTGTTGTTGACCTCTTCCATTACTTTGCTGAGGATTGAAAGTAGACTGATAAGCCAACATTTAGTCGGATTGGATTTGTCCCACTTCTTGTAGACAGCACATACATAGGCTATTTTCCACATTGTTGGGTGAATGCCAGCATTTTATTTATATAAAGCAGCTTGGCTTTAATTCTGTTTAATTCTGGAGCTCATCTTCAGTATTATTGCAGAATGTTATCAGGGTCCATAGACTTTGTGGGACCCAGAGCTTTCAGATGCTCACATATCATATTGAGTGAATCAAATTGGCAGAAGGCTGTGATCTGTGATGCTGGAAATCTCAGGAGGAGGCAGCGATGGATCATCCACTTGGCACTTCTGGCTGAAGATTGTTGCAAATGTTTCAGACTTGTGTTTGCACTGATGTACCGGATTCCTTCAGCATTGAGGATGGGGACATTTGTGCAGCTTCCAGGGGTTATTTAATTGTACAATATCATTCATAACTGGATATGCAAATCTGCAGAGCTTAGATCCAATCTATTACCTCTGTCTATCAAATGCTGTTTTCACTGCTTGGCATGCAAATAATCATATCTTGTAGCTTCATCTTTTTTTTTAAGATATGCCTGGTGCTGCCCTTGCATGCCCTTCTGCTTCCTTCATTGAACCAGACTGATTCCCCAATGTCATGGTAATGGTAGAATGGGGGTTATGCTGGGCCATGACATTACAGATGTGATTGAAAACAATTCAGATGCTGCTGATGGCCCACAGTGCCTTATGGATGCATGAGTAATGAGTTGCTAAATCTGTTCTAAATCCATCCCATTTAGAACGGTGTAATGCCACACAACACGAGGGAGGGTATCCTCAATGTGAAGACAATTCCAAACCTGTATTTCAAATGCTCCAGGATACAAAATGGAAGACTTCACAGTGTAGGTTCTGCACCCACCAATAACCTATTAAAATGTGGAACATTTCCTCATAATAGCCTTGTTTAGCAACAGCATGCATTCCAACAACAGGCCATTGGAAAGCTGGTTCTATATTAGACTTTCAGGAAGGCTGACACATCATAATTCATCTGGCAGGGTGTGGAACATGAGATAATTTTCAAGTCTGGACAGCAACAGATCATTAAAGCATTAGATGTGTAGCCAATATTAGAATGATGGCAAGGCAGAAATTACAATCTGCCTTTAAGTGAATGATCATTATTCCAGCTGTCAATGCTTTGGCACAAACTCAAGTCAGCCAAGCAAAATGGAGTCTCCACATCAGAGATAGAATCTGCAAGCTCTGATGATGCTTAATTTCACTTTTTTTTAAAAGGGATGGCCACATTTAAGTCAAACTAATGTTAAAGTGGCCTGACTTGTACCAATTTTACTGTAGTAATGAATTTTGAAGTAAAGCAGAGAGTGCAATGTTTAGATCAGTTTTGATCCAAATCAAAAAATTGACAGTCTTCAATAGAAAATCTTCATCCTTGTCAGAATTACTTGAACAATGTATGTTTACTGAGTTACAGGCTGGGCTGCCAGTATCTCTTACTGAAGCCTGTATTAGCCCAATGGTGTGTAGCCAAATCATCTTCTGGTCTGGATTGACCAGCTGGCAACAGCACTACATATGAGCAAATTGGTGCCAAAGGGTCACCCCGATTGAAGGAGTTGGCTTCCTCTTTTTTAATGAGAGCAGTTGGGTTTCCTTCCTCAAATTGAACGGAAATGGTTAAAATAAAACTAGCTCACTGGCAGAGGTTCAAAAGCTAACATTAAGAACACTGCAATTATTCATATTGCCAACTGCTTATTTAAGTACAAGTTTATTAGGACTGAATTGTTCAATGGCAAGAACAAACTGTTCCTTAGCAAAAAAAAAGTTCCAGTCTACCATCAACAGAGTGCTAATAAAGTAACAAGGCTACCGTAGTAGTAAATAAATCTCAATATCCACATGACAGTAATCATTCTAGTGATACATTTGAACAAAATGCTCTTCAAGTTACATTAAGGGGGAATAGAATCTTCAATAATTATTAGCACTATCCTCTCTTAAGTTCTTCTTTTTGATCAGAACTCATAATTCAATGGGTACTATTTTAGTGAAAGGGTGGAAATAGGCACTCAATAAGTGCTCTGCTAATAAAATGCAGCTCTTTAAAAAGCTGGCTTTAGCATATAGTTCTGATTATAATTTATGATTACCAAAATTTGTCTGAGGCTCCTAAAAGAGATACCTGTAAGTTTAGTAAACAGTAATTAGACATATTTTTATGTAGCCATATATGTGGACTCCACACACTGTGCTGAAGGGGTGGAGAGACTTGGTTGACAGTTATAGGTTTCATAGAATCATAGAATCCCTACAGTGTGGAAACAGGCCCTTTGACCCAACAAGTCCACACTGACCCTTGGAACATCCCACCCAGACCCATACCCCTATAACCCACCTAATCTACACATCCCTGAACACTACAGGCAATTTAGCATGACCAATCCACCTAACCTGCATATCTCTGGCACAAAAGCAAA